GGTCCAAATTACTTTCACACTGCGTAAAGGTGACTGTCCACCTGTCACTATGAGTGGTGAACCTCTACCGACAGATACCAGTGTCAGGTATCTGGGACTACACTGGACAGAAGACTAACATGGGCAAAACATATTAAAACTAAAAAAGACGAAGCAAATCGCACATATCAAAGCTTCTACTGGCTCATTGGACGGAAGTCACCCTTATCTCTAGAGAACAAACTACTAGTGTACAAATCTGTTATAAAACCAATATGGACTTATGGACTAGAACTATGGGGTACAGCTAGTAACTCAAACCTGAAATACTCCAGCGATTCCAAAACAATGTACTTCGGGCTATTACCAATGCACCATGGTTCACAAGAAACAAGGAACTACATGAATATACAGAAATGAACACAGTAAAAGAAGAAATAAACAACGTCTGCACAAGATACAAAACTAGACTGGAAATCCACACCAACCCACTAGCTAGTAACCTGCTTTTGACAGACAATGGGACGAGATTGAAGAGATGGAATGTCCTACAACTTGATCAAAGAGACTAGACTCTGCAATATAATGGATGGGCATGATGATCAATGGATCATCACCCATAAAAATTGACTCTAAATACCCACCAACTCATCTGATAAAGACTGATAAGTCGAGGGCAGATATCAAAAGGAAGAAAAAAAAAAAAAAAAAAAATTTACTTTATTTGCTGTCTCACAGAAGAGCCACAGGTAATATAAGATGGACTTATACAGCAGGCAACCAAGGGTGTGAGTGCACATGGAAAAAACCACAGAACATGGAGAAGTTTAGTGGAACCGTAGTACGCCATAGTCATATTTCTTAGAAGAACATATCACTGTGATTTTTTAAACAAATGGTACCAACGTAGGTTCGCCGCTTAGTCACCACCTTTGAGTGCAAGGGCTCTAATACAGAAGGTGTAAGGCACATCTCTCTTCAAATGCTGATCTCTCAGGAGATGCAAAAATTTTTGGACCTTCCATTCAAAATCATGCAAAGTCAAAAAGAAGTAATGTTTCCTAAAATATTTTCTTACAGGAATTTTAATTTCATGGTCTAATTGCATGAATGCACCATATCAGCTTCACGCAAAATAGGCGCATGTAGACATCGAATTGCGGAAAACAGCCCATTCAACCATTAGCATTGCACCCTATCAGTATTCAGAGCTGGCCCTGACACCACAAATTAGGGACACGGCGCACGGGGCGCCTTACCAGATGGCTCACTCAGTACTAGCGATGATTTTGACGCTTATTGAATTTATCTGGAAATAACCGGAATCTCAGGGGAAGTCAAGGCAACTAAGAAGGTGGTTGACACAAGAGTCTTTCTTGAATTTAAACAATTAAATTGGCTCAGAATCATATGACGTTCTTTGCTAGATTTTGCTGTTTTGATATTTTTGTACTTTGAGCTTTTGACAGTAGCAACCCTCGCTATGTAAGAAGTGCCAATCGAGAAAATCCGAAAAAGGGCCGAGTGAACTTTCTGTATACTTTGTGCTGACACCGTGTATTTAATATTTTAGGAGCCAGAAGATGAGCCGACAAATAAACTGGAGCCAGTCATGGAAATTGAGGTGAAGGTTGAGGAGCCACCAGCATTTTCCTCACATCCTGGGCCTGCAGATGATGCAGTGCAGATAGACATTAAACCAGGTAATTTATTTACCAATCATCAACTTCCTGCCCTTATCCCAATTACTAGGGGTCGGCGCAACACGTTTTGTTAAACACAAAATCGTGTTGCAAAGGATTTGGCTTAATTTTACGACCGGCCGCCTACCAGAAGTCAACCCTCCTTGGGAATGCTTTTGTGGTGGATTAACCGCCACCATACGGTTGGCCCTGGCTGTTTGGGTCAGGTTTATCCCTCGGTCGCCTCTTCGACCCCCACGGGAAGAGAGGGGGTGGTGCTATTCTACACTGCCGGCATAATTTACCAATCCTAGCAAAAAAATGAAAAATGTGTCCACTTAGTCAAATTTATTTCACACACAAGACACATCACAGGAAATAGTACAATTTAGGCGGCCTTATTTCTAAGGTAGCAATTTCTACCAGGCTCTTCTTTCTAATATGATAATTGATAATAAAGTTGCCGATTCAAGATTCATTTTGAATGATATTATGTTAATTAATGTAGGTATCATTAATGTTTACAGATATAAAGCATCTAACAGAAAACGGTGATGATGAAGAATATAGAGTGCCGGAATCAGGTGCCGTATTGGAACAAGAAAGCCTAGGTAATATTTATATTTTAACTACAAATTGTCCTTTAAAAAAAAACTGCGAATTAAACATGTTGCAGTGCGCACACCAATCCGCCTGCCAAGCGTGGTGAGTATGGCATTATCCCCCGATATGGGGGAGGCCCATGCCCATGTTCAGTAGTGGACTGTTGTACCTGTAAAGGTCAATTTAAAGAAAACATAATGCTGACCTCCTATACTAAATATGCTGACTGATCGGGCATTTTGCATGGAGTGCCCAATTTTTTTTTACAATTACTTAAGTTTTATTTTCTAGACAAGTTTAAGATGTCTAGAATCTTTCCTTTTCTTTCGACCATTTAAAGAGAGACACTGCGTGCGAATGTAAAAGAAAAAGTAATGCATTGGTTGTGTTCTCACTCTTTTCGTGTAGGACACAGAGTTGTCCAACGACCCGATAAACCCTGGTGTCCGAGTATTTCAACCGTCTACTACGAAAAGCTGGCCTCTGACGTGATTATGTACAGACCGCCGCCGTCTTAATAATTATAGAGAGCAACCGGGACCGACGGGTTAACATGCCCCCGAAGCAGCCGACAGCAGATGTGGCGCAGTGGTTAGTATGACTGCCTGCAACGCAGAAGGTTCCGGGTTCAATTCCCGGTGGGGTCACTCCCAAAGTTTATATTTATCACTTTGTGAATTTGTTCCCAGTCTGGTTAGGACCACCCGATTGTAAGATGTAAGAAAAGTAAGATAGTTTCGTGCTTCGGATGGGCACGTTAAGCCGTCGGTCCCGGTTGCTGTCTATAATTGCGGTCGTTACACAACCATGTCAGAGGAGTAGGCGGTTGAAAAACTCTGACACCAGGGTTCATCGGGTCGTTGAACGATTCGGTGTCCCACAAGAAGAGTAGACGTAACCATATCATATTTTATTTGTTATATATTTATTTTATTTGCAGATCGAAAGCCAATACTAGTCTCACAGACATGCAGCTTATGCGACCTAACATTCCATCACGAATCAGAGTACATGACGCATGTAAAATCACACGAAGCAGAGGGTAGCACTGCGTTGCAATGTAATAAGTGCCAAAGGTAAGAAAATTCACTGTGGACACTCAACTAAACTAACTAACAGTCAACCTAACGGTCAACCTCTTTTCATGTATTCTACGTCTCCCACACTTACGCAAACACACACACACACACACACATATAAGGTGTAAAAAAATCAACTGCAAATATTTTAAGGTGTGAACCAGCCCGTGAAACCGAACAACTTTCCCCAAGGAACATAGGTCGAAATATGAAAAAAAATTTGGACCTCCCATACAAAGTGTATCAGCCGGCCGAGTCAATTTGTATGGGAGGTCCAAAAACTTTTTGATATTTCGACCTATGTTCCTTGGGGAAAGTTGTTCAGTTTCATGGGCTGATTCACCGCTTAAAATATTTTTTACATCCTGTATACTGGGTGTTACAAAACAACCACTAAAGCTGAAAGGAGGTACTCGTAAAACTGAACAACTTTCCCTATGGAACATGGGTCGAAATATGAAAAAAAAATTTGGACCTCCCATACAAAATTAACTCCATTTGTATGGGAGTTTTTATGGGTTGTTTTGTAACACGTTGTAAACATTCCATCACGAGTCAGAGTACATGACGCATATAAAATCTCACGAAGCAGAGGGTAGCACTGCGTTGCTTTGTAATAAGTGCCAAAGGTAAGAAAACTCACTTTGACAACACATAAACACACGTATACATAATCCATAGCGAATTTTATATGCATCAGAGTACATGACGCATGTAAAATCACACGAAGCAAAAGGTAGCACTGCGTTGCAATGTAATAAGTGCCAAGGGTAAGAATAATCGCTTTGACAACACATATACACATTCCATCAATAATTTTATACAAGGTGTTCCAAAGGAAATACATTAAATTGGAGACGTTGTGTAGACCATTGTACTGAACAATTTTCATTATGGAACCAAGTTTGAATTCTTAACAATTAAGTAGTTAAAATTTTCATACAAAGTTGATGCCTACATTTACTACAACCATTATGTATTACCCCTTATCCAAGATTGCAACCTTGCAATTTTACTTGTTGGATTTGAATCTTCGAAAAAGTTTGGAACATAGTTGTCTATGTCTTAAATTTGAACGAAAACTTAAGATAAAAGATCTCTTTCTTGGTGTCAACTTTATTTTATTGCCGCCTCAAACTAAAAACTTCTTTTGACTTAGAGCACCCATAGAGACGCAAAGACAAAGGGCCAATCAGAGAATCCAATAGAGTCTGTAGTGTCAGTTGTGTCAGTTTTTGACGAACATGACATTTGACCTTGGTCTACGCCACAACTGTTGCCTTGGCAACTAAATTACCGCCAAAACCGTAGCCTTGGCAGCAGTTGTGGCGGTAATTTCAAAAGTTTTTCCAAGACGGCAACATGACATAAATAAAGGTCATAATCAATAAAGCTCCTTTCATAATGTGGCACTCAATTAAATTTAACAAATTTAAGTTGCTGATTACTTCTAAACGAGGAGTTTTCATAACTTGGCCCCATAATGAAAATTGTTCGGTTCGATGGCCTACACGACGTCTCCAATTTAATGTATTTACATTGGAACACCTTGTATGCGTCAGAGTGACATGACGCATATAAAATCTCACGAAGCCGCGGGTAGCACTGCGTTGCAATGTAATAAGTGCCAAAGGTAAGAACACTTGAAAAATTAATTAGCGTCGACCGGGACTTGAACCCAGGACCGTGGAGTACCGTCCCACTGCTCTGCCAACTGCGCTATCGGCGCCTGCCCGACCCTAAAGAATCTTTCAACCTCTTGATGCTGGTCTCGAAGCGACGATCTAGCGACATCTAAGTAGTAGAAAATATTAAAACGTGCAAGTCCCGGCAGACGTTAATGAATTTTTCACACATGCATACATAAATCACGCCTTTATCCCTTGCGAGGTAGGCAGAGCGTCAAGGGCCACAAAAATACGGTCGTTATCGCCACGTCTGACAAATATTTGAGGGCCGTTTGGGTTGTTGTCGCCTATTGCTATACTATAGGTTGTCAGCCTGTTGCCTAAAATTGCAATACACATAAAACTCTTAAGTCCCTTATTCGCTTCTTACGACACCCGCAGGAAAGAAATGGGCTATTATAAGCCGACAATAGTAGGTTGTTGACGAGGACGGAAAATAAGACTTTGATTGACGAGTAGAGTTTGAAGTCCGAGCCGCAGGCATCCGGGAGCTAGGCCGACGCCTGCGGGAGCGCGGGTGTGATCCCCGCTCCGGAGCGTACCTGGTACAGCACATCTCGCTCGCCATCCAACGCGGTAACGCCGCGGGCGTGATGGGCACCTTCGAACCAGGTACGCTTCGGGGTGGACTTTTTGATTAGGATTAGTTAGTTTTTAAGTTTAGGTGCGTAGGTATTTATTAGAACTAGTTACCTCAGATTTTAATTTTACAACTACTAAGAAATAAAGGTGTTTCTATTATACGAGTCTAGCAAAGTCATTTTCCCCGAGGTTTACATAGTGCTTTTCTCAAAAAATTGCTAGTAAATAATAAAGATTTTAATTTATTTTATAGTAATTTGATATAAAAAGTTGTTTTACTGATTACTAAGTCAAGAGGTGGATTTGGAGTTATTCTTTTTTTATTTTGTTATTTCTGAACGATTTCGATATCGCGCCAGAAAAGTTGTATTGGAATCCATTGCAGTTGTGTAAAAAAGAAATCGTTCAGATATTACAAAATCACAGACAATGTGAAACTTTCTGGATCGTTTTTTTTTTTGAAAGAAATTGTCATATTTCCTAGCATGTTTGAGAAAAATGAATTTTTTAACTCATCTTATTTTCTTTTGTTTCAGATCGTTTTCGAACAAATCGAACTTGGTCCGCCACCAAAAGTTCTGCGCGGGGCCGCAGTCGGTGGAATGCACTATTTGCAACCAAACTTGTAGAAATGCCAAATTCCTGCAAAGCCACATGACGGTGCACAGTACAGAGAAACCTTATGAATGTGATCTGTGCGGGGAAAAGTATAAACATCAAAGGTAAGCATAGACACAAAATTGAAAGTTTAGTTTACAGGAGGTTCACTCGACCCTTTTAAGGATTTTCGCGATTTGCACTTGTTACATAGACGGGGTTGCTACTTACAGCAAAATCTAATACGAAAACGTCATATGATTCCGAGCCAATTTTAACCCTGGAACCCTACACTGTTTTTGACTCTCTGATATCCCTGCATTTACCTACCTTTTTATGCACCACCTGCACACTTACATAAAGCATGGCGGTCGGCGCAAGTCTGGCCATTCAAACGCTAATCGCCTAAGACAAAATTACATTCCAGGTCAAGTCAGTGCTTTTGCAATCAATTAAATTACTGACTAAAGAAAATGAAAACAAGTAGGGTTCCCGGGTTAATTCGATAAATATGACGTTCGTGGCAACTATCTTCTTGGTTACCTTGAGTTCCTCTGAGATTAAAGTTAAAGTCAATGAGCGTCAAAATCGACTGAGTGAGCCATCTTCCAGTCAAATGATCCTGCTGTATAGTGCGTTTCATTTTATACTTCCTATATGCCGTCATGTTGGTAGCATTGGAAATTTGTATGTAAATTTTATGGCGGCAATAATATTACATACAAATTTCCAATGCTGCCAACATGACGCCATAGGAACTATAAGATGAAACGCACTAGAACTGTAAAACAGCAAAATCTAATACGAAAACGTCATATGAGTCCGAGACAATTTTAATTCGATAAATATGGCGTCCGTGGCAACCATCTTCTTGGTTACCTTGAGTTCCTCTGAGATTAAAGTTAAAGTCAATGAGCGTCAAAATCGACTGAGTGAGCCATCTTCCCGTCAAATGATCCTTCTGTAAACTCTTTATTTGCAACCAAACGTGTAGAAATGTCAAATTCCTGCAAAGCCACATGACGGTGCACAGTACAGAGAAACCTTATGAATGTGATCTGTGCGGGGAAAAGTATAAACATCAGAGGTAAGTAAGCATAGACACAAAATAGGGAGTTTAGTTTACAGGAGGTTCACTCGACCCTATTTAGGATTTTCGCGATTTGCACTTGTTACATAGCCGGGGTTGCTACTGTTAAAAATCTCAAAAGCATAAGAATTGTAAGGCGCAAACTCCACCAAAAAGACGAAGGGCATAGGACGTAAGAATGACAGTTGACAGACAAGTGATCGTCAAATATTCTTCTTAGTTTTTGACGCTAGCTGTCATAGATGCGACGCTTTGGCGACGCTTGTGTGTGCCTTTGTCAATACTTTTTCGTACATTTTGTATGGAAACGTCGCGATGTCAAACGTCAAGCGTCATGCCCTACGTCCTATGTCCTCTCCATGTCCTCTCTGTGGAGTTTGGGACTGAAACAGCAAAATCTAATACGAAAACGTCATATGGTTCCGAGCCAATTTTAATTCGATAAATATGTCGTTCGTGGCAACCATCTTCTTGGTTACCTTGAGTTCCTCTGTGATTAAAGTTAAAGTCAATGAGCGTCAAAATCGACCGAGTGAGCCATCTTCCCGTCAAATGATCCTGCTGTATAGTGCGTTTCATTTTATAGTTCCTATGGGGTCATATTGGCAGCACTGGAAATTTTTATGTAAATTTTAAGGTGGCAATAATATTACATACAAATTTCCAATGCTGCCAACATGACGCCATAGGAACTAAAAGATGAAACGCACTATAAACTCTCTATTTGCGACCAAACGTGTAGAAATGTCAAATTCCTGCAAAGCCACATGACGGTGCACAGTACAGAGAAACCTTATGAATGTGATCTGTGCGGGAAATGTATAAACATCAGAGGTAAGCACAGTCACAAAATAGAGAGTTTAGTTTACAGGAGGTTCACTCGGCCCTTTTTAGGATTTTCGCGATTTGCACTTGTTACATAGCCGGGGTTGCTACTGTCAAAAATCTCAAAAGCATAAGAATTGTAAGGCGCAAACTCCACCAAAAAGACGAAGGGCATAGGACGTAAGAATGACAGTTGACAGACAAGTGATCGTCAAATATTCTTCTTAGTTTTTGACGCTAGCTGTCATAGATGCGACGCTTTGGCGACGCTTGTGTGTGCCTTTGTCAATACTTTTTCGTACATTTTGTATGGAAACGTCGCGATGTCAAACGTCAAGCGTCATGCCCTACGTCCTATGTCCTCTCCATGTCCTCTCTGTGGAGTTTGGGACTGAAACAGCAAAATCTAATACGAAAACGTCATATGGTTCCGAGCCAATTTTAATTCGATAAATATGTCGTTCGTGGCAACCATCTTCTTGGTTACCTTGAGTTCCTCTGTGATTAAAGTTAAAGTCAATGAGCGTCAAAATCGACCGAGTGAGCCATCTTCCCGTCAAATGATCCTGCTGTATAGTGCGTTTCATTTTATAGTTCCTATGGGGTCATATTGGCAGCACTGGAAATTTTTATGTAAATTTTAAGGTGGCAATAATATTACATACAAATTTCCAATGCTGCCAACATGACGCCATAGGAACTAAAAGATGAAACGCACTATAAACTCTCTATTTGCGACCAAACGTGTAGAAATGTCAAATTCCTGCAAAGCCACATGACGGTGCACAGTACAGAGAAACCTTATGAATGTGATCTGTGCGGGGAAATGTATAAACATCAGAGGTAAGCACAGTCACAAAATAGAGAGTTTAGTTTACAGGAGGTTCACTCGGCCCTTTTTAGGATTTTCGCGATTTGCACTTGTTACATAGCCGGGGTTGCTACTGTCAAAAATCTCAAAGTATAAGAACTGTAAAACAGCAAAATCTAATACGAAAACGTCATATGAGTCCGAGCCAATTTTAATTCGATAAATATGACGTTCGTGGCAACTATACTTCTCATTAAAAAAATCGAGACACTTTCGTTTTCATAGTTAAATAAAATATTAAATTACATGAAACTAAAATTAGAATAATGCTCATTGATATTATGATTTAGAAACGTCGTAATAATCACTATTGAACGACATTAGACATTCATTCCAAAATAAACATATGTCTCGGATAATGTGATCCGTACGAAACTTAAAGTTGCAAAGCATCTCGATTTTTCTGATGGGAAGTGTATCTTCTTGGTTACCTTGAGTTCCTCTGAGATTAAAGTTAAAGTCAATGAGCGTCAAAATCGACTGAGTGAGCCATCTTCCCGTCAAATGATCCTGCTGTATAGAGCGTTTCATCTTTTAGTTCCTATGCCGTCATGTTGGTAGCATTGGAAATTTGTATGTAAAATTTAAGGCGGCAATAATATTACATACAAATTTTCAATGCTGCCAACATGACGCCATAGGAACTATAAGATGAAACGCACTTTAAACTCTCTATTTGCAACTAAACGTGTAGAAATGTCAAATTCCTGCAAAGCCACATGACGGTGCACAGTACAGAGAAACCTTATGAATGTGATCTGTGCGGAGAGAAGTATAAACATCAGAGGTAAGCACAGTCATCGTCTGCCTGCCCTTATCCCAATTGAATTGTGGTCGGCGCAACATGTTTTGTTAGAGCACAAAACCATGTAGCAAAATGATTTGGCAATAGTTTATGATCGACCGCCTGGTTGACGTCAACCCCCTGGGAAGCTATTGTAGATAGATGCATGCGGTTGGCCACAGTCGACAGATATTCAGCCGAGGTCAAAAACTCTACGTACAGTGTGAACGGTTAGCACTACTGCGACCACAACCATCCACAACCTCTACGTTTGTAGTAGCATAATGACATC